TATCAGATCACACTACCATAAAACATTTGAGTCCACTACCTTCTTGGATTCCATGTTCACTAAGCAATCTTCTAAATATAATTCAGATTCCCACAGGGAAGGAATGTACTAGTCAAGAAGACATAAACATCCCAATGACTGGCAGTTTGTAGTTCTCATTATAAGGTAAAAAATAAATGCCCTTACCTTTTTTTTTTTTTGTGATTTGTGTGAAAGTTTACAGAGCAAATTCACTTTCTATACAGCAGCTCACATATACTTTGTCTCATGACAATGACTACAATTTATCACAATGTAACAGGTCCCCTCCCACTTCCTCCCCATATTTACATCTGCCCTGTGTCCATCCCTCCATGTACTCCTGCCCCCTGAGCTATATCCCTGTGCATAGACAGCCCTTCTATTCTCCCATGATTGTCCTCTCCAAGGAGTGTATCTACCTAGCGTAAATGCCTGTCATATGCCTCATATGCCTCATATGCCTGTCTTTTGTTTGGCTGGAAGCCACAGGAGTGGGTTCAATTCCAGGCCTGAAGGGCAGCTAGGGACCACAGTCTCAGTGGTTCCACCAGGCTCTATCAAATCAGCAAACCTGATCCCTATTTTTTTTTCCCAATGATTTTGAGTTTTGTTCCACATTGTTCTCCCTCTCTATCCAGGATCTCCTCCATAGATCCCCCTCCGAGTGGTTGACAGTGGTAGCTGGGCACCATCTAGTTCTTCTGTTCTCATAGTCATACAGGCTGAGGATCACATGGTGTGCCAGTCCCTTGGTACACCATGAATCTTTGGTTTTCTTCATTTTTCTTTGCTCTGGACAAGGAGAGAGCCATTGTTGCATCCAGATGGCTGCCTGCAAGCTTTTAAGATACCAGTCGCTACTTGCCAAAGTAGGATGTGGAACGTTTTATGTAGTATGTTATGCCAACTGAGCTTGATGTCCCCTGCAACTATGGTCCCGAGCCCACAGGTACAACTACTCACTCCCTCTGGGTAGCTGGGTGTGACCAAGAAGTGACTACAACCTTGTCCCTTGTCAGTTCTACTATATACCTGGGAATTGTCATAGAACATACCAATACATTGTAGAAACACTGTCTGCTAATGCTATACATGGTCTTGGAAATGCCCTTACGTTGAGACTTCATTTCTGTGAGTTCAATTAGCCTGAGTCAACCTCATGAATAAGGAAGATCAAACCCTAAGCAGTTGTACCCTTATCAGGTGTTATCTACCCCAGGCCCAGACAGAGGGTATATTCTTCCTTCCTGAGCCTCAGCATCCACAAAGCTCCTCTTTAGCTACTTAAGAAACAGTACATGTGTTTATGAATTTGTTTGGCTTTTAAATAAATAAGCTACAGCTAACTAAGGAGCATTTCATTCAATAAGAAAAGAAAAACCTATACAATATCCACTAGAAAATCAGCATAAGAAATTCACCAAAAGAACTACAAATGACCAAAAATACTATGAATAATGTTCAGCTTCAGGAGCTCTGGTACGGTAGTGCCTAAGGCACTTGACTGCTAACCAGAAGGCTGGCGGTTCAAACCCACCAGCCACTCCTCGGAAGGAAGGTTGGGCAATCTACTTCCATAGTGATACTGCCTCAGAAACCTAAGGAGGGGTTGCTATGAGTCGGGTCCAACTCGATGGCACATAACAACAACAATGTTCAGCTTCACTAGTAACACCATTTTAAAAGGATACCATTTTTACCTGATCAAATTAGCAAGCATTTTGTTTTCCAAAATTTTAATACACAAAGTATTCAAAGATTTGTTGAAACGGGTACTTTCAAACACTGCTGCTGGTGGTAATCAAAATTGTTATAACTGTTTAAAGGAAACTCAGCAACTTAATCTTAAAAGGGTTCAAGCTTTTGGTCCTAGAAATTTATGTTCATCAGAATAGCAAAAACTTGTAACAACTACAGGGAAATAGTGAAATAATTTATGGAATTATCATGAAACACTGAAGAATACTTAATGACATGGAAAAATAAAATTTAATGTTAAACAGAAAAAAATAAGAATTAAAAATTTATACAGTATCATACAATTTTTATAAAAATGTATTGCATGCATATTGTTGTTGTTGTTATGTGCCGTCGAGTTGGCCCCGACTCATAGCGACCCCTCCTTGGGTTTCCGAGGCAGTATCACTATGGGAGTAGATTGCCAAACCTTCCTTCCAAGGAGTGGCTGATCGGTGTGAACCGCCAGCCTTCTGGTTAGCAGTCAAATGCCTTAGGCACTATGCTACCAGAGCTCCTCCATATATATATATAAGAACTGATTAAACCCTTAAAAAAGAAAAAAAGACTGAAAGAAAATGCTTAAATTGTTAGTAGTGATTTGTCTGAAGAGTAGTATTATTACTCATGTCTTTTTTTTTTTGTTTGTTTACTTCTTTAAACTTCCCTATTTTCTAAATATATTACAATGACCCATCTAGTCTTTGTATAATCAAGGGGGTCTTTGTATAATCAAGGGGTCTTTATATAATCCCTTCCTCAAGTTGAAAGAAAAGAAACTGTAGCTTTATTCTAGACAACAGTTTGAAAATATAAGTTTCCCACTAGGTAAAAAGCTTTTGGAAAATTAAAGCTGCATAGAGAATAGAATTAACTTTTGCCTTTATTATTAACATATGTCTAAACAGAATCAAATACTTTAAATCCCTATATACTAGTTGGTTCATTTAATAAAAGTATGTGTGCCTATTATGTATAAAGTTTTGTGTAAAGCCCCAAGATGAGTAAGAAATAGGCCCTTCCTTCAAAATAACTACATAGAAGAATTAAGTCATGTATACAAGTAGTTGTAGCGTTAGACTGTTCTGAGAACTAGATTTCTAATAACTTCCTACAAAATTACCATATAAGGCCACAAAGAAAGTAAGAAATTCTAAATTATTCTTCCCCTGCAATTTCATTCCATGGAATGTCTACATTGCAAACCTTTCTCTCTGGAATCCCCTAAAAGGACAAGAAAAAGGCCTTATTCGACAGTCATGCAACAACTACTTATTGAATACCGATGATACATAAGCACCATGTTGCACCTCTGAATACAGGTATGTGTCCTGAATTTTCTCCTTATATCCTGAAGACCTAAGAGCAGACCTGGCTTGCATACATGTTTATTTACTTTGGGAGAAAATGTCTGGTACCAGCATCTGGAACTCTGACAGCTACTTTTCTCTAATGAGTTACAATAATTCTACTAAATCTGGACGCAGGAGAAGTCTCCAAAATGTGAAACCAAAGAATCCTGGCATGACCCAGCTACCAAGCACCAATTATAAAGCAAGCGAAGACTGACTGAACCAGTTCAAGGGAAAAGAAATAGTTGGTGAGAAGTGCATTATTTAATGGAAACATCTTGGCCAATCAGCTCTGAGGCAGGCTAATTCAGTCACAGAAACAGATCAGAAGGAAAAAGAAAGAAAACAGATGTCTGTAAATTTCTCCAAAAACATCATTTTACCTTAAAGCAAAGAAGAAATATAAGAGAAAGTCTGGAAAGATAGAGAAGACTAATCTGGGTGTTGGGCCAGATTCTGGGTGTTGGTCCAGATCTCTGCTTCATAAATTATCTTCCATGACGATAGGATAACGTACTTTTATACCCAGAGAAGCTAGTGGCCTGCCAGATATTTACATTTCTTATTATTGACTGTGATATTATATCCCTTTTCTCTCACAAAATGGTAGAAGGAACTGTGGCAGTTAAGGTTATGGGTCTACTTGGCTGGGCCTGGTTTTGAGTAGCTGGGCAACTGGATGTAGTTATTTCCCATGGTGAGACTGGTAACCAACTCCATGGTGAAATCTACTGTGAGCAGCTGTCTTAGAGATGTGGTCTGCTTCCAGTATGTAAGAAGCAGCTTTGAGAAAGGTCTCTAGCTTTCTGACACATCTGGATCCTGCATTTGGCCCAGTCTTCATCTCAGTGGCCTGCCTGTTAATCTTGAGACTGTCTCTGAACTTGAGTGAGTGGTAAGCCGTGTTGCTTGATAGTCTTGGGACTGTGCCATTTTACTGTAGACCTTGGGTGTGTCATGCTCAGTAGCCAGCAGCTGCCTGAGTTAAGAGAAGCCTCCAGCTCCAGTGGGCCAGGACCAAGAGGCAGAGCTGAAGCCCAAAGTCAAGGGGCTTCTATGCAGCCCATAAAGCTGGCACTCTGAACTCAGCCTTCTAGCCTTCTAAACTGTAAGAGAAGGAGCTCTGGTGGTACAGTGCCTAAGGCACTTGACAGCTAACCAGAAAGGCTGGCAGTTGTTAAAGCCAACCACCTGTGGTTAAGTCTGTTAGAGTGGCACTAGAGAACCAACATAGGAACTAACTGTAAAAACATGCCAAAAGCTAATGTTTTAGAGCACCACTGTGAAAGCAAAAAACAAAAGCAAAAACAGACCTGATTGTGCAGCTGACACTACATGTAGGAAACAATTCTAACCTCTTTCACAAAAATCCATCCCTGCAAGATCATTTCAGAGGCTCTTAACACACAGTATCCTTTATAACTCTTCTTCTCCATAATTAATCCATTGTTTACCAAAATGATGCTAATCCTCGTAATGAATTCTAGAGCTTCCTCCTGTTGCTCCAATGGGGAATTTGATCATGCACATTCATTCAACAAGTCCCATTTCCTGCTCTTTGCTCTTAGCCAAGAGCTACATAGATAATAAAAACAATAGCAGCTGTTACTGAGACCTTTCTAGGTGAACTGGGTTAAATGCTTTATGCACAATAACAAACCTATGAGGGAGTTACCATATCATACTCAACATGAGGAATGTGAAGTTTAGAAAGAATTTTAAACTTATCCAAGATCACACAGCTAACAGGAGGCAGAGTCAGGATGCAAAGCTGGGTAGTCTGAGCCCAAAGCCTACCCTCTCCCACTCTAGGGATTATGGGCATGATGGCCTTGTCCTATCTAAGGGGAAGCCACTGTGAGTTGTCCAATTCATCCAAGGCACACTGACCTGCCCCATCAGGAGTGATGGTTCCCAGTTTCACAGCCAGTGGGTAGCCCGTGTCTCTGTAATGCTCCACTGCATGCCCGTTGCCCCCAGAGCTGTCAAAGAACCACTTCCCACACAGGATAGAGCCGTCTGTCAGATTCAGCCAGAGGTTTTCCCGCAGGTCACACCTGGCACACTTCCAACCACTGGAAAATCAGTGAAGAGCAGTTAGTGGAGCCACAGTGCAAGGCCTAATGAGAAAATTAACATCTCAAAAAAGAGAGTTTCTCAAGTGGAAGTCATGGGAAACGTTTAATGGAATAACAGAGACTGGTGAAGAGCTACCTTGAAAACATATTGCCCTCTGTCCCAGAGACACAGGACCATGCAGCAGCCTGCCTGCCTCTCATCCACAGACACAACCCCTCCAAGATGGCTCTTTTCCTTTAGAAAATTGATTAGAAACATGGGGACAGAAAGGAGGGTCTTTCCTCAAAATTTCCACATGAAGAAAGCCAAGCCTGAACAAATTTAAAACTATATGGATTTCATATGTACAAACATCTCAAGTTCTAGCACTAAATATGCACAATAAAATGACTTTAAACAAAACTCTACTATACTGCAATTCTCAATTAACTAGAAAGGAAACTAACTTAACCGAATTTTGGCTGTGCACTCCTATAAATACACCTGCACCTAATAGGAGGAGCAACAAATGTAGTCCAAAGAGTACTCCAGCCAAAGCCTTACAACCAAAAGACTGTTTTAAATTGGGTTCTGCTAAACAAAGAGTAGGAGCTCTGGTGGCCAGTGCCTAAGACATTTGACTGCTAACCAGAAGGCTAGTGGTTCAAACCCACCAGCCAATCCTCGGAAGAAAGACTGGGCAATCTACTTCTGTGGTGATACCACTTCAGAAACCCAAGGAGGGGTCGCTATGATTCGGATCCGACTCGACAGAAGTGAGTATAGTTTTGGTTTTGAGACAAGGATTTGAATGCAAATGGTTTGTTAGGGATGCGATCCCAAGAAGCACCACAGGGCAGCAGGGAAGGGAGACAGCAAGAGAAAGAAGTCGATGCAGATTTCATTAATGAGCAGCTGACTACTCTGGGCAACTAGGGCTCAGTCCAGCTGGGGAACCCGAGAAGACAGTCAATCTACCTGAGGGGCAGAAAAGCTGGATATTGATCCCACCACTCATTGATTGAAGGCTATTCCAGGGCTGGCAGTAGGCATGAATTCCATGATATTTCTCACTGTCCCCTACACAGGCCTATCTGGTTTTGGCAAACAGGGAAAGCCGTCAAGCAAAGAGTTGCAAGTGTTTGCAACGGGAAGCCTTAGGGTGGAGAATGGCTTTAGGGGTATGGGCTGGGCGTGAACAGCATCTACTACAAAAGTATACCCAATTTTGGAGCAAGAGATGTTGTTGTTGTTGTTATGTGCCATCAAGTTGGACCCAACTCATAGCGACTCCTCCTTGGGTTGCCAAGGCAGTATCACTACTGAAGTAGATTTCTCAACCTTCCTTCCAGGGAGTGGCTGGTGGGTTTGAACCGCCAGCCTTCCAGTTATCAGTCAAGTGCCTTAGGCACTATGCTACCAGAGCTCCCAAGAGCAAGAGATAGGGAAGCAAATATTTCTCTGGCCAGTCTTGGGGTAAAGTTGCAGTTCACTATCTGACTCTCACCTTGGAGGAATCCTGACTCCATTGTCCAACTGGGTGAGGTTATTGGCATATTTGGATACTGGCAATTCATTTTCCCATGTGTCTGGGTCTTGCTTTCTGTATGGAGATTTTGAGCTAAGAACTGCATCACAAGCAATTGTAACCTGTAAGACAAACCCAGATGTTACATATAAAAGCAGTCTGAGAGAATAGCAACTTCTAGAAAATGAGTTTACAAGTTTATTAGTAAACACCACTTAATTTAATAAAATTCTAACAGCACAACTACCATGAGAGTGAGACTGGTTTCTGGAAACCAGCACTTCCCCCTGGAACGAGCTAGGTTTTGTCCTCAGTCTAGAGTTTGTACTATTGACAATGACACAAGACAGCAATTAATCAATCAATCAATCCACCAGTTTGTAAGTTTAAGCTTAGAAGTCATATTTTAAAAGTACTACCTTTAAACAAGCAGGGTGTAAAGCATGAGGTGAACAATTTACAAGGGTCAAATTAAGTAGGGGATGCCCAGGATTTACCCAAGTGGTGTGCTTTCCTCCTAGCAAATGCATGCTCAGATATCCAATATCCTCAACTCATCACACAATGGCATGTGGTCAAGGGCACTCCAGTGGAACGTCAGCAGCATGGCTCCTTTTCTTAATCTGGTGCAAATGTGACCCTGGACAGGGGCATGCCTAGGTGTCCCTGTGCCAGACCAGTTCACATCACAAGCAAATCTGTAATGTCCAGCTTGGCACCAGCTGACCACGGGGGGACACGACGACAGTTTCTCTGCTTCTCCCAAGCCCAAACTGATTCTGGCAGTATGTCCAGCGTTACATCTGCTATTTGCTTAATGATATAGCTATTTCCAACTATCTTTAAAAACTTATAGTGTGGTGGGAATGTAAAATAGTGCAGCCACTTTAGGAAACTGTCTAGCAGTCCCCCCAACAGTTGAAACAGAGCTGTCATGTAAGCCAGCAATTCTACGTCTAGATATCTGTCCGAAAGAAATGAAAACTAAGTCTACACAAAAACACGTACATAATGTTCATGGCAGTGTTATTATTGAGTGGAAACAACCCAAATGTACATTAACCAATTTAGGAACAAATAAAATGTAATATGTCCATACAACAGACATATTATGCAGCCATAAAAAGAATGAAGTATCGAAACATATTACGACATGAATGAATCTTGAAAACATATACCTAGCAGAAGAAACCAGTCACAAAGAACCATATAGTGTACATTTCTATTTACATGAAATGTCCAGAATAAGCAAATTCATAGAGACAAAAAGTAGATTAGTGGTTGCATAGGGCTGGGGAGGTGGGGGTGCTGGGAGGGTGACTAAGAAGGAGGTGGGTTTTCATGGCATAATGAAAATGGGTATTCTAAAATTGATTGTGGTAGGAGATGCTCGACTCTGTGCTATGATAAAAATTAAAAAAAATTAAAAACAACACTGAAAAACTTATATTCTACATCACTAACATGCTGCACAATTGGCTGAACTTCACACAGAATGTTTTACCCTGGTTGGCACTGGGGATTGACCTTAGAAATGAGTGACAGACAATGCAAGGAGTTCCCTTACCCACCATCCCACCCCTATCCAGCTCCAAAGCAAATCTTATCAGTTCTCCACTCAAACTATATTTGGAACCCACCTCTTCTCAAATTCAACCACACTGTAGTCCCAACCACCATCGTGGCTCTCCTGAATAACTACACAATAGCTTCCTCACAGGTCTCTTTTTTCCACCTTTGTCCCCTCTTCTCTGTACAGCAGGCAGAGTGATCTGTGAAAATTAGACTCTATCATTCCCAGCTTAAAACTCTCCATGGTTATACTGAACACCACCAACTAATGACACTGGGTGAGGCAGGAATAAAGAATGGGTCATTGTGTTCTAAAAGCTTATACTCTGTTATGGATCAGGCACTTATAGACGTAGTTAAACCTCTGAGAAGAGATTTTCTCATTCATCTCTCACAAGTGCTGGTTATACACTTATGAAAGAATTAGCCTTTCCTTTGAATTATGTGGAATTCATCTCCCACCCATTCCAGGGTTGCTCCTAGAAAACAGGCCTGAGTTCACCAAAAGCCCTTCTGGATGTTATGAGTTGGGGCCATGCTGTCTTCAGCACTTCTGGGTACAGAATTCTAATCCGTTTAGTTTGTTCTGACATGATCTCCTTCTTTGTTTCACCGATGACCTGAATTGTTCCCTGTCCTCCTCTACATTGTCTCTACCTCCATTAGATCTTTTTGTGTTCTGGTTTACAATGCACTGTGATTTTGACCAAGATTTGGATATATTGTCCTCTCTTTACTTTGAATGTCTTTCCCGGTAATACCCAAGATAACTTCCTTAGACTTCCAAGCCAGAATAAAATACTGATCTAATGTTTCCAGAAAATCATCTAAAATCCCTGAAAGCCCCTTTTTAGTTGGTGTAACTGAAGGTCAGGATGTATCACCTTATAATTATACTGTGAATTACTCTTTTCTGGATTTGTTACCTGGAGTGCAGTGGAGCTAGTCCTGGCTCCACCCCCAAGTCTCTGTAAGCCTCAAGTTCAATCATGGACTGGAGCTGGCTCAAACCAGCTCACAAGAACCAACTGTTAAATTTTAATAAATTTTGCAAGACAGTTATTAAAACAAATATTATTTTAAATTAAATTATATAAAATTACAATTAAATAAAATATAATTAAAGGTAATAAATACTCAAAAGTCATCATTTCCTAATTGTTTCACTATTATCTCACTATCATGTGCTTTTGAGGTTATTTACTTTTTTGAATTTTATTTTGTTTTTGTTGTTGTCGAGGATATCCACAGCAAAACATACCTACCTCAACAGTTTCTACATGTACCACTTAATGACACTGATTACATTCTTTGAGTTATACAACCATTCTCACCCTTGTTTTCTGACTTGTTCCTCCCTCATTAACATAAACTCACTGCTTCCTAAGGTTCCTATCTAATCATAGCTCTAGAAAATCTGTAGTCCATGACCACTTGAATTTCTGTTCTATGTTTTGCCCCTTTTGATCAGGATTCCTCTATAGAATCCATGATCAAAATGTTCAGTAATGAAAGCTGGGTACCATTCAGCTCTTCTGGTCTTGTGATAGGTGGAACTGTGTGTCAACTTGGCTGGACCACAATTCTGTGTGGTTCAAGCCTTGTGATGTGGGTTATTTCCATGATGGGATCAGCCTATCTGTTGAAAGGGAGTTTCTCTAGGGGTGTGGCCTGCTTCCAATATATTTATGGACATCCTGGGAAAAGAGACACTCTTCTGTGGATCAGGATCCTGTTGTGCTGCCTACAATCACCTGTGAGCAAACAATCCACCATTCGTCCTGGAGATCTTGGATTTGTCATTCGTTGGAGTCAGCAGACGGTGTACTGCCTGCCAACCTTGAGCACCTCAGCCCGTGCAGCTGTGTGAGTCAGAAAAAGTCTCCAGTTTGATGTTTGATCCAAGAACTTGGGACTTGCCAACTTCTATAAGTGTGTGAACCATTTTCCTAAGATAAATTTCTCTTTATCTATATGTATATATAAGCTTTACTGGTTTTGCTTCTCTAGAAAACCCAGCCTAACACAGGTCTCATGGCAGAGGAGGCAGTTTGCTCATGCAGGCAATCAGCCACACATTCTATTTCCTCCTCCTATTCCTGACTCTCCTTCTTCCTCTGTTGCTCCAAGATAATAGAGATCAATTGTTGTAACTTGCACAGCCCACTTGCAAGCTTTTAAAACCATGGCACTGTGAAACAAACTACAGGATAGAATACATTTACTATCATTATTTAGTTTTATGTTATCTGAATGTTGGAAGTTCTATATAATGGCACATGACTACACATTTCTTCCCAATGACACAGTCAGAGATATCACATCAGCAGCTTGAAATCAACCATGTGGGAGTATTTACACCATGGAAATCAGTAAACACCACAGAGAGCCATGAGCATACCACTGCTCAGGTTCCTAAGGTCCAAAATGAGGTGCTGAAGTTCAGACTCCAAAACGTAGGCTGGGCCCAACAGGCTATGTCTCTCTGAACTTTGTATCACATTCTGTTATAATATATAGGGGTTACTATCTGAAACTTAAATCTTCCTTTGTTGGGAAGCTCTAGAGATTAAGAAAAAAACACCTGGTCGGGCTTTGAAGTTCAATTTTTGTCATTTTAAACTTTTTTTTCCAAAAAATTATCAAACACTAAAAATGCAGCAAAAGCACCATGAAAAGATAATACAGTGGCTAACATATTTTAGCATAGTGCCTAAGGCACTTGACTGCTAACCAGAAGGCTGGTGGTTCAAACCCACCAGCCACTCCTCAGAAGGAAGAATGGGCAATTTACTTCCATAGTGAGACTGCCTTGGAAACCCAAGGAGGGGTCACTATGAGTCAGGTCCAACTCAACAGCACATAACAACAACAACATATTTTATGTAGTCCTACTGCTCACCATCAGATAAATGCACATTTTTTCTTCTGTCTCCCCATCCCACCTTCCAAACAATTTTTTTCTTAAAAATTCCTTAAATATTTCTCACTTTTACAGAAATCAACAATAACAAGATGAACAGAAAAAGAGCAAACACATGGAAACTGAATAGCACCCTTCTTGAAAATGACTGGGTGATATATGAAATAAAAATGAAATTAAAAAACTCATTGAATCAAACAAGAACATACCAAAATCTCTGGGACAAAGCAAATGCTGTGATTAGAAGCCAATTTATAGCAATAAATACACACATCAAAAAAAGAAGAAAGAGCCAAAACCGACACCTCAACCAAAGCCTACAGTCACCACAAGAAAAGAAATAACAAAGGTTGGAGCAGAAATAAATGAAAAAGACAACAGAAAAAATCAGTAAGACTAGAAGTTGGTTCTTTGAAAAGATTAATAAAATTGACAAACAACTGGTAAATTTTATAAAGGAAAAGAGAGAAAGAATACAAATAACAAAAATAAGAAATGAATTGGGAAACACCACAACAGAACCAACAGAAATTAAAAGGACAGTATCAGGATACTATGAAGAACTATACTCCAACAAATTTGAAAATCTAGAATAAATGGACAGATTTCTAGAAACATACCATTTAC